ATGTTATCATTTTTTTGATATGTTGTTGAGTTTATTGGCTAGGATTTTGTTAAGAATGTTTGCATCTATGTTCATGAGGGATATAATTTTCAATTGGTCTATACATTTTTTTGGAACTTTCTTATCCTTTTCTATACTCTAGAATAGTTTGAGTAAAATTGGTGTCAGCTCTTCTCTGAATGTTTTTTTAAAACACACCAATAAAGCCATCTGTGCCTGGACTTTTTATTGATGTTTTTGGTGACCTGATCAATTTTTTTTGTGTTATAGGTCTGTTCAAGTTTTATACACTCTGTGTAAGTTTATGTAGGTTGTGTTTTCCTAAAAATGTATCCGTTTCCTCTAGAGTTTCAAATTTGTTGGGGTACAGGTCTTCATAGTATTCTATTATCCTTTTTTTTCTCCATTGATACTGTTGTGACATCACCCGTGTGGCTGTTATTGGATGTTGTTTCTCCCTCTTTTCTTTTGTTAGTTTGAGGAGTCCGCTGCTATGGGACAAAGAACTGAACTGCAAGGCTGGTTTGAATCACAAGGTCAGCTGTTTAAACTTAGCAACTGTTCCTTGAAACTCTGTACAGCGTTGCTATGAGTCAAAAGCAACTCTACAGCACTTAACAGTGGCGTAGAACATATTCTCATGTGGTGTTTTGTAGCTGGTATGTGTGCAGTACACATCAGGTATCCTGCCTTCCGCCCAGACAGATGCATAAAACTGAAATTACTCATTTATGAGACTAAGCTAAGCACCCTGGTAGCACAGCGGTCTACACGTTTGGCAGCTAATAAAAACAACAAAACAGGTAGAACCCACCAGCTGCTCCATGAGCAAAAGATGTGGCCGTCAGCTTCCATAAAGATCCCAGCCGAGGAATTGCTATGGGCAGGTCACTCTAGCTACAGAGTTGTTATGAGCTGGAATTCACTTGATGGCAATGAGTCTGTTGTTTGTAATGGGACTAACAGAGCAGGACAACGGATATGTTTCCACACGTTTACATACGTGTTGTCTTTGTCAGTGGCTGCCACTGAGTAGACCCTTGACTCATGGTGACCCCATGCACCATGGGAGGACACACTGCCAGACCCTGCTCCACCCTGCACCGGGCTTTCACTAGCTGGCTTTCAGAAGAGAGAGGGGCTAGGGAAAAAAGCGCTGCTTCTATAGTATTCAGCACTATAGCAATATGCAAACCTCTACTGACAGATGGCCAGTGGCTGTGCTTGAGGTGGAGTGGCCAGGACAGTACCCAGTGCTTGCATCTGTCAGTGAGAATCGATTCAACCAATGAACCACCAGGTTTCCCTCCACACACATCCACTCACTCACTGTCAGCAAGTGGAATCTGACTCAGAGTGACCCTGCATAGGGTTTCCAAGGCTGCATATCTTTCAAGGGAGCAGAAAGCCATATCTTTCTCCTATGGAGTAACTGGTGGGTTTGAACTGCCAACCTTGAATTTGGCAGTCCAGTGGTTATCCTACAGCACCACACCAGGAGTCCTTTATATTTATTAGAGGATAGCCACACATCTAAAGACAGATGAAACCCCTAATGACAAGACATCCTCACAAGTTTGACGTCTCTATTACCTGCTCTGGGCACTACAAGAGCGGAGGAGGAGGCACCACAGAGATGAGTGGAAACATGCTCACGACTCCACAGGCCACTGTCCCACTTCTCCGGACAATCCCCCTCAGATCTTACAGTCACCCATTTAAAGGATAAACACAAGGTCGACTGGTCAAACCCACCAGTCACTCCTAGGAAACCCTAACGAGGGTTGCTATGAGTCAGAGCCAACTTGAGGGCACTTAACAACAATGGCAATAAAAAACTAATGACCTCTGGCTCTACTGTGCTGAAATTCTTTTATTCCTTATGATGCAGTTGGTTAACCCAATAAAAGAGTCTTTCACAATGAGAAGAGCTAATGTTTATTCAATCAACAAACATTATGTGCCTGCCTGGGCCAGACACTGTCCTCATCATCCTGATACACAGAACATGTGATTAGTGAACGGAAAGCTATGAGAAATCAGACTGCTAATGCTTCCCAGCCAGTATCAGGTGGCTGACAATTGACACAGTGTTCCATTAAATGCCAACTGGGAATATAACTGGTGTGGAAGAGACATCAAGATGTCCAGTCCACGGTGTGAGGACTGTCAGCGGAGTGTGTGGGGAGGAGCCTGCTAGGTGACAGGGAAATGCGCTTGGTGGGGTTTGCAGACAGCTGGGCAAGAATGGTTTTACGAGGGTCTGAAAAATTCATTTGTAACTCCTAGACTTATATTTTAAGTAAAGAATGAGTCAAACCAATAAATGGTAAGATACTGACTGTGAACCCAAATGTTTCAGGCATGGGGGAGCCCCAGCGTTACTCCACTGCAAAGAGAAGCCTCTAGATGACAGGCATGGATGATTGTTCTGACTATAACATAAATGGGTATCAACAATGCTTCTGTCTTTGCAGAACCAGAGTCTTAAAAAGCGTGGTGAGCAGGGCACAGACGAGTAAGAAATGAGCTATTTTTTCATCTCCAAAATTGCACTTCCTGGTCCACGGTTCTTGGCACTGCAGATGTTGCAGAACTGAGCCAGAGAGTTCTAAAATGCAAGCAAAGAAAGCACAGCTTAAAAGGAGCTAATATATTAAATGCAACCCTCCCTCTCCACTTTCATATTGAGAGATACTATGGGAGTGCTCGTTGTTGGGGGGGTGGGTGGGGGTGAAATGCTGTTCCTCGTTGTGGAGATGATTTCTGCCTCACATAGTATTAAGCCCACTTGTTAGTCTGTGACTCAAAGGATACACCCTAATAAAGTCACTCTGATGGGATCTGGTGACTCCTGGTGTGGTGCTGTAGGATCAGCACTAGACTGCAGACCACAAGGTTGGCAGTTCAAACCCACCAGCTGCTCCTGTGAGTTCAAACTAACTGGATGGCACAACAAAAACAAAAATGCAATCTAGGGGAATGGGTTTGGTCCCTAAAGACTAACAGAATCAGGATACTAAGATTGGATTGACAAAGTTACACAACAACAAAAAATTCCCTACTGTTTCTCATGTCGAGATAGCTCAACAGTCGTTTATTTTACCTGAATTAATCAACTATTATGCTTTTATAATGTTCATGAAGCCTACTAAATATATTCCAACTGGATAAATAGATACATGGAGTCATGGAATGGCACTGTTGGATATGCACTAGACTGCTGACCACAAAATCAGCAGTTCAAACCCAGCAGTCTCTCCTTGGAAACCGTATAGAGGGTTGCTATGAGTAGGAATGTACTTGTTGGCACTCAGCAACAATACATGTTGTTGTTAAAGAGCTGTTGAGTCGATTCTGACCCATAGCGACCCTGTATAGGGTTTCCAAGGAGCAGCTGGTGAGCTTGAACCACTGACCTTGCAGTTCAAACGACTTTGCAGTCTGACACATTAGCCCACAGCACCACACCAGGGCTCCAAATAACAATAAATAGATACATTATTTTTTCTTAGGAGACTTAGCCCCAATTATAACCTTGGGAGGCACAGCACCACATGGACAGGCTGTAACTGAGCACACTGCCCTCTGGATGCATCAATTTCTCATCCGCTGAGAGATGCCAAGCTGCCCACTCACCATACTGGGTACGGGCAGGCACTCCTTGTGGAACATATGCCGGCAATGGAAGACTACCATGCTGTAGGGCTTAGCCGCATCTGGAGTGGGGAGAGAAGGAAGCAAGGGGAAAACACTGTCAACGCACAGCGCAAGTTCTTTGACCACTCAATGGAAAAGTCTACCTTACTCTGACTTTGCAGCTGCCTTTGAAAGTGTTGTAAGAAGAACTCCCTAAGGGTGGTATGGGCCAATGAACCGCTGACAGGCAGTTGCGTTGCTTTGTGTTTACATCTGACTTGCTTAACTTTTGTCTCGGTTACCAGCACTACAAATGGAGACTGCTCCACAGCAAATGCAGCAAAACGTACTCTTAAAAATAGCAGAATCACTGTTTTTCTTGTGTATTGTGTGCACACACAAAGGAGCCCTGCTGGCGCTGTAGGATGAGCACTGAGCTGCTAACAACAAGGCTGGTAGTCCAAGCCCACCTGTGGCTCCACGTCTGCTTCCATACAGATTTATAGCCTCGGAAGCCTTCTACAGGATCTTGATGAACTGGAACGTACTTGGTGGCAGTTGGGTCTTTTTTTTTTTTTTGGTGCACATGCATGTATGCATGCATTATACACTACATCACAAATACTGACATCAATTCTGTGGCATTATAGAAAAATATTTTCACTAGCTTCCAGGGCAGCCCTGGGTTCGAGGCCTACATCTGTTGCTTCTGGCTGTGACCTTGCATTTTATTGCATCCCTGGCTGGTCACATCACCTCGATTGCCCCTATATGTGTTGCCAGTTTTTGGATCTAGTATCCCTAGGTAAAGAAATGGGGAATTTAATCTAACTGTATGTTGTTGCTGAATATCACTGAGTCGATTTCTACTCATGACAAACCCATGGGACCCAGCAGCAATGCCCCCCCGCCAGGTGTTCCAGGCTATAAGCCTTATGGGAGCAGACTGCCATAATTATTTTCCCCCCATGAAATCATTTGTGCAACCAAGACTCCTTTCAAATTGTACAAAAGGGGTATAGATCATCTCTTCCTGCTAAAACACTGTCTAAAAAACTATGAACAGTTTATTTTTTTCTTATGCCCCATTATAGTTCTTAATATTAAGTATTCAAAATCCAAACCTATTTCATCGAGACAAGAACCTACAGGAAACAACTTTATATCCTATTGCAAAGCCCAGAGATCTGTGTTTTATAAACCCTTCAAGGGATGCTAAGTTAGCCGGAAGCTTAGAACCACTGCTCTTAAGAATGGCAGATCCAGCACTAAAGTGTGTTAGGATTACACAGCAGAAATTATCTTTGAATTGCATAATTCTGAATATTTTATGTGATTATTATTAGGTGCTGTCAAGTGGATTCAAACGATGAGCAGTTTCTGGCAGGCTTTTTATAGTTTGGATCAGTTTTTTAATCTTTATTTTATAGTGTAATTATCTGAACTTGGTTGATACAGAACTGAACAATGAATAGATGTCAAATCTGTTCCTTTTACTCTTATTTTTCTTTTTTTCCTGTCACTCAAGTTAATACTTGTCTACTCTCTGATGCTGTTGTTGTCTTTGTTGTTGAGGGCCAGAGTCAGTTCTGACTCACAGTGACCCTGTATAGGGTCTCCAAGGAGTGGCTGGTGAGCTTGAACCACCAAACTTGTGGTTCAAACCTACTTTGCAGTTCAGTACATTAACCTGCAGCACCCCATCAGGACTCCCTCTAACCAGTGAATAATTCTCCCTTCCCTCCCATCCCTGATAAATACCACAGAATGTTTCTGTTAGCATGAGAACCTTTTCTTGACATTTTACAATAGTGGTCTCATATAATATTTGTCCTTTCGTGAGTGACTAACTACACTTTGCATTATGTCTTCCAGGCTCCTCCATGTGAAGAGGTGTATTGCAGAGTCATCATTATTCTCCAGCATTGGGCAGTAGTCCATTGTGTGTAATTACCAACGTTTCTTTAGCCATGCCTCTGTTGATGGGCACTCAGGCTGTCTCTGTTATCTTTTTGCTGTTGTGACTAATGCTGTAATGAAAATGGATGTGCACAGATCTATTTGTGTCCTGGCTTTGATTTCTTGAGGAGATATACCAAGTAGAGGGATTGCTGGCTCATTTAGCATGTCTATTTCCAGTATCTTAAGAAAGCGCCAGGCTATTTTCCACCATGGTTGCACCATTTTACAGTCTCACTAGCAGTGTAGAAAGGTTCAAGACTCTGCACCCTATCAACAGCATTTGCTGTTTTCTGCTTTCTTGAACTCTGCTATTGACATTGTGGATGTTGTTTTGATTTGCATCTCTCTAATGGCTAATGTGCTCCTTGGAGGCCAGGATGGCCAAACTTCGTCTCTCATACTTCGGACATATTGTCAGAAGGGACCAGTCACTGGAGTAGGATCTCATGTTTGGTAAGGTGGAGGGCCAGAGAAAAAGGGGAAGACCCGCAGTGAGAAGGACTGGCAAAGTGGCAGCATCAGTGGGCTCAAGCATGGCAACAATTGTAAGGTTAGCCCAGGACTGGGCAGTGTTTCATTCTGTTGTGCATAGGGTTGCTATGAGTTGGTACTGACTCGATGGCACCTAACAACAACAACAACATTGGTTAATGAGGACTCCTAGTGTGGTTCTGTAGAATCAGCACTAGATTGTGAACCACAGGTCAGCAATTCAAACCTACCAGCGGCTCCTTGGAAACCCTATACAGGGTCGCTGAGTCAGAAACAACTCAATGGCACTTAACAACAACAATAGCTAATGAGGAGTCCTGATGTAGTGTCATAGGATAAGCACTCGGGCCATGAGGCTGGTTTGAACTGCAAAGTCGGTGGTTCAAACTCACCAGCCACTCCTCAGAAACCCTATACAGACAGGGTCACTATGAGTTGGAATCGACTCAACCACACTTACCAACAGCAACAACAATGGCTAATGATAGTGAGCTTTTCTTCATATGTTTGCTGGTTGTCTGAATATCTTCTCTGGTGAAGTGTCTGTTCATAACCACTGCCCAGTTTTTAGTAGGATACTTCATCATTTTTTCCATAAGCTTCATGTACTCTAGATTCAAGAGCAAGTGTCGGACTCTTTTCTGACATTCATTTTGGTCTCCCACCCCTGCCCCTGTCTTTTTAATGATCTTTTGTGTTTGTCCTCACACCATTCATAGGGTCTTTGGCCATTACTGTTTGGTTCTTCTTCCTAGTCTGGCTTACTCTGGAAGTTCTACTGAAACCTTCCTACCAATGGGTGACCATGCAAGTGACCACAGAATGACAGCTGACAGATGAGTGGCGGGAATATTGTATTTTATAAAGAGTTATCAGTTAATCTCAAAATGGTAATGATACCTATCATTACTCCATATTTGAGAACCATCTGTCCCTGCTAACCATCTTACCTGATGGAAGGATAGGGGAAAGGCATGCTTCACAGATGTTCTCCTCTGAAAGGAAACAGACACATACACCTTCAATTATACAGTGTGTCTACCTGTCCTCCCCATTCCCTCTCAAAGCTCGGCACATAGCTTGAATAGGAGCATTTCAATTTTACTCACCATCTACCAGAACGCCTTTCATCTGAGTTCTATGCATTTTCTTCAGTAAAGACAGAGAGTCAGCTACCAAAATCTTCTTGCAGCCTTCCCGAAGTAAAATCTAGTACACACATGATAAGAACCAACTTTAAAACATTCCACAATGGGGCAAAGAAAAAACAACTCTATCGGGGATTCAGAAAAATACTTCCAAGAAAGTCTTTCTGGTCTCTCCCTTTCCTCCACTGCCAGTTGGCCTTTTCTTTCTTATAAATATTTAGAGGTTCAGTCCTGTAATGAATGCAAAACAAGATCTAAATTCCAGTCTGGAGAAGATGACACTATCTTACCAATTGCTTCCTAGTACACATTTTTGTCTAACAACAAACCTAGTGCTATCTGAGTCCATTCCATCTCACAGATCCTCTAAGACTGAGTAGGGCTGCCTTGCCAACCTGCAAGGTTGTCAATCGTTATGAAATAGAGTACTTTATCTTTCTTCCATGGAGCAGCTGGTGGGTTTAAACTACCTACCTTCTGGTTGGCAGTCAAGCCCTTTAAACACTACACTTAGGGTTCCTCCTATATGCCTGACTCATTACAAATCCAAATCTTTGCCCATGATGGCAAGACCTCCTATTCCAAAATCCATCTGTTCATAAATAAGAAGTCTGGTGTGGTGTTGTGGGGTAAAGCACTGGATCACAACGTGTGTTTGAACCACATGGTTGGCAGTTCAAACTCACCAGCTGCTTCTTGGCAACTCTATAAAGGCTTGTTATGAGTTGGAACAGACTGGATGGCACTTTACAACAACTGTATAAATATGTACTGGTCCCTATCTGTTCCAGGCACCAAGTATGGAGCAATGAACTAAAACAGATAAGATCTTTGTCCCAAATCCCCATCAGGGTGCCACCTGTCTTTAGTTTCCTTCTAAATCGAATCCAAACCATTTAGCATGGTGCTATGGACACTGTGTGTCAAGTGTTTGTTGAAATAAATTAATCCTCAGATTTGGTGAGTCTTGCTGTTGTTAAGTCCGTTGAGTCGGTTCCAATTCATAGTGATTCATAGGGTTTCTGAGGAGCGGCCGGTGGGTTTGAACTGCTGACCTTGTAGTCCAGTGCATTCCCCTGCAGTGCCACATACCAAGACTCTTAGGAGGGGTGATAGGTGGAAAATGATTGCAGATACTAATATTCATTTGATTAATTCTGTTATCCTTTCTCAGTAGTGAACTTTTTCTGTTAGACACTTTTGCTGTTTCTGTGTAGGTTTTAATTTTAAATCTTCCCTCTACTTGCCTGGATGACTCTGGGAGAGCTCACACACTCCAGCAGCCACAGGAGGCAGGACACTCACAGCGGAGGGGTGACAGCCCATCTTTGGCTGGTGTGACTTTGTGCTGCATAACTAGGGACCTGGTGAGCTTAGAAATTCTTAACCTGTTTTGAGCCAGTGGGGATAATTTGGGGAGGGAACGTATTTTATCTTTCAAACACTTTTTGTTGCGCATGGTGTGAGTTTTGATGCTTTTCTGGGCTTTCTTGGGTATCTGAGTAGAAGATTGGGAGAGACTGACAAGTCTTTCAGTTGGATGTCATTTTATATCAGCACTTGTTGCTTCTTTGGAAGGCAGAGACCTATCCAAGGTCTGAAGAACCAACGGGTCCTGTAGCATTTCTCTTCTGGCCCCATGTGCTGTGTTTGATGGAATTGTGTGTAACTGTACAGAGCTGATACAGAAGGCCACATAAAAAAGACATGACTGACTCACTATGGCCCAGCTCTGGGGTGAGGGTCCTGAGAAGACAACCTCCGTAAGGGGCTATGCTCATAGGAAGTCCTACCATCAGCAGCGTACATAGGCTTTCTTCATACTGACACAGTCTCAGTTCCAAAACCTACATGGAGCTTCTGCTTCTATAGGATTTTAAATGCATGCCATGTTGTTGTTGTTGTTGTTAGGTGACATCGATTTGGTACTGACTCATAGCAACCTTATGCACAACAGAATGAAACACTGCCTGATCCTGGGCCAACGTCACTGTTGTTGCCACGCTTGAGCCCATTGATGCTGCCACTTGGCCAATCCATCTCTTTGGGGATCTTCCTCTTTTTCTCTGACCCATCCATCCTACGAAACATGATATCCTTCTTCAGTGACTGGTCCCTCCTGACAATATGTCTTAAGTATGAAAGACGAAGTTTGGCCATCTGGCCTCCAAGGAGCACTCTGGCTGCACTTGTTCCAGAAATCTAATGAGATGTTTTGTTTTTTAAAATTCTACTGCTCTGAGACAATTTTTATACCTTTAATCATAAACATCTTCTGTACTCTTCCTAAAACCAAACAGTAGTTTAGCTTAGAAGTTGTGGTGTGGTGCTGTTGCACAAGCACAGGACTGTTAACTGTAAGGTTGGCAGTTCAAATCTACCAGCCATTCCTAGACAACCTTATGTAGGCTGCTATGAGTCTGAACTGGCTTGACGGCAATCAACAACAAAAGTTTAGCTTAACTAGTAGAAAAGATCTGTCTTGATCATTTTGCTTTTTTAAGAACTACCAATATGGGATCAGGGGGGCGTGGTGGCTCTGTAGGATAAACAACTGGACTGCTAACCACAAGGTCAGTGGTTGGAAGCCACCAGTGACTCCGTGGGCAAAACATAAGGCTTTCGGCTTCCACAAGAATTACAGCCTTAGAAACCCTACACAGTGTCGCTATGCATCAGAGCTGACTTGACAGCACTTAACAACAATATGGAATCAAGTTGGCAACAACACTTGAAAGATTACATAGGAAACTTAGGAGGCAATGAATTCATATTAATGGGGATGACACACTACGGAAAAGGCACGTGAGATGGCTGCACAATTTGAAGACTGTAATTAATAACAGTGATTTGTACATGGTGGTGGTTATGTGCCATGGAGTCGCTCTGACACATGCAACCCTGCTGTAAATCTAAGGCTATGAATCTTTACTGGAGCAGAAAGCCTCATCTTTCTCCCATGGAACAGTTGGTATGTTTGAACTGCTGACCTTGAAATTATCAGCCCGACTTGCAACCACTACGCAACCAGAGCTCCTTTGGTATGCACATGTAGACATCTCTGAATTGGTGCACATTTTGCTGTATATATTCTCAACAACAACAATAAAATAAAATAAACTATACAAAATATTCTACTGAAAATTGGATCTTTAGACTCTTTTGCAAAAGGCATAAAAATTTTAATAAACATAATTAAAAATAAAAGAGTAAATGATAGTGAAAGAAACATCTAGGAAATGCTGATAACAGTAAACGTGAAGAACAAAATAGAAGCAAACCTATAACACTGTTCAATCGCCAAGATAAAAATAAAACTTAAGAAAAATTCTGTCAATTTCAATAGCTGGTAAAATGGTTCCAAAAGCAGCAGCTCAGAGCATCAGTAGGTGTTAGAGACCCTCTCCATGAGTTATACAGGAGGAGGGCCAGCCATCTAGACCGAAGCCACTGTGCCTACAAACGAAAGTGTAAAACAAACGAACAAACAAAAGGTAAACTAAGAAAAACCCACTGTCTAGCAGGAGTTCATTTTCCTAAATAGGTATAATCCATCTATCCACAGAAAGTATTATCTAGGAAAAAAAAAATCAATATTCAGAGGCAAACAGCCAGGAGAGGTGAAATCATAAACATATAGTGTACTATGCTACTTTCTACTTCAATCTCTCCAAGTTCAAGGTTCCAAATCAGAAAACTATGAAAACATCCCACTGACTGGATGCCAGGCAGGTACATAAAGAAACGAGACTACCCCTTGTAGAGTTACTGCTTTATCTATAACATCACTACATAACTTGAAGGCAATCAAAAAGGGGGCGTGAAAGAAGACCGTATAGATTCTTGGCAGCCCTCCATTAAGGTTTCCAAGGCCGTCAATCTTTACAGGAACAGAAAGCCTCATCTTTCTCCTGCAAAACTGCTTGCTGGTAGTTTCAAACTGCTGACCTTAAGGTTAGTAGCCCGTTAAGAGTAGTGGTTACGAATCAGGCTGCGAACCCCTAGGTCAGCAGTTCAAAACTACCAGCTGTTCCATGGGAGAAAGATGAGGCTTTCTGCTCCCGTATAGATTTATAGTCTTGGAAACCCTGTACAGGGTCGCTGTGAGTCGGAACCAATGGCACGGCACATAACCAACCACCACCACACTACTAGAGCTCATAGTGTTATTTTACAGATTTCAACATCAGGCTTAGGGCAAAGCATTGTCTTGATTTTAGATCCCCAGTTGTAACTACATCAGTGACTCATGAAAAAAGTGCTACTGTTAACAATGATTTAATCTCTAATTCCCAAAAGTTCCTATTAGCTATTTCCCATGAGTGTCTTTATTAAGACCTGGATGAGGGATGTTGTAGAAGTTCACTAAGGAGACTGTCTTCACTCCCTTCTGACCATGTCTCTTTCTCTCTTTCTAGGTCTTCTGATCTGGCTTCTCCCTCTAGCTGTGAACTTCTACTTCCCACAGTCTCTTTCCTATGCTTGCAAATTTGATGTCATTTACACACAGAGAACACAGGCACTCTCTTCTGTCATCCGTGCATTTAATGACCACATTCCACATTGACATTGAGTAGCAGTGCTAATCACATTCTGAATATGCTCATCCATTACACATTGTATTATTTTTAAAATATGAAATACTTCAAACATATAGACTACAATGGAAAACACAATAATTATTCAAGTCTGTACCACCAAGATTTAACAAATTTTAAAGTAGTACCAATACAGCTGATGCTTTCCTTAATGTTTACATTTTTTCTCATTATTTATTTCCTCCTCTTTTGTCCTTAGAAACACAACTCCAAATAGGGTGAGCGTGTGTGTAACTACAAAATGCTACTGGCAGTGTCCATGCTACCCAGACATAGTCAGAGTGATAAATACTGAGTCCGAGAAGGGGTTTCTTCCCAAATGCAAAAGCGAAGGTGCATCAGGAAAGAGCCCTTTGCTTCCCACATCTTCCAGCCTGGAAGGTGAAAAGTGAAGCCGGGAGGAGCTGCGTCCACCTTGTGAGCCAGAAGTAGTAAGCCTGAGGTATAGTCTCCTGCTTATGGA